GGGTGCAACATGGACATTCGACATGATTTTCGTCTTGTTCATGTTCATTTTAAGACCCACCTGTTTGGAAACGATACTCAGGTCGCTGAGCATTGTACTGATGTGCTCCATCGATCTTGCCAAGATGACTATATCATCGGCGAAACGAAGGTGAGTTATGTATTCGCCATTTATGTTGATGCCGTATTCGTCCCATTCCAAGAGCTTGAATACGTCCTCCAATGCATTCTTGAACAGTTTCGGAGAAATGACATCTCCCTGTCTCACGCTTCTGCGCAATTGGATTGGTTTCGTGCTCTCTTCCTGGTAGCGAATCGACATTGTGGCGTTGCTATACAAACGCTTCAACACTTCGACGTACCTGTAGTCGATTTGGTATCGCTGGAGGGACTGCAGTACTGCCCAGGTGTCGATTGAATCGAAGGCTTTCTCATAGTCCACAAACGCTAAGCAAAGTGGCAGATTATACTCCTCGGTCTTCTGTATAATCTGCCTCAGCGTATGTATGTGGTCTATGGTGCTAAAGCTTTTTCGGAATCCGGCTTGTTCGGGAGGCTGTAAGTCATCAAACCGGCGTTCGAGACGATTCGTAATGACCCTCGAAAACAGCTTATAAACGTGGCTCAGAAGCGAGATTGGTCTATAATTCATCAACAAGATCTTATCACCTTTTTTGAAGAAGAGCACAACCACGCTTCTGTGCCACGCTTCTGGCGTCGTACCCTCGAGAATGACGGAATTGAACAATTTCTGGAGGACTTAGTGTACCGGTTTTCCACCCGCTCGCAAAAGTTCAGAAGTGATTCCATCATCCCCCTGTGTCTTGTTGTTCTTGAGCTGTTCGAGTGCCATTCTAATCTCGTACAGGCTGATGTCTGGGATATTCTCGGTATAATGTCAGGTTAGCTTTGCTCTGGTGTCCTGAGCATTGCTTTCAACGGGTTGTTGTGTTGATGTGTACAACTGTCCATAAAACCTCTCAAGCTCAATCAAAATCTCCGGTTTTGAAGATACGATCCTGCCGTCGTCGATCTTCAGCTTCGTCATCTGACTCGACCCAGCAGACAAACGTGCAAACACTTTGGAGCCTTGGTTCCGCTCTATTGCCTCCCTAATTCGTGTAGTATTATAGGAGCGCAGATCGCGTCGCATCGATTTGGAAATTCGTCTGTTAAGTCGACCATATTCCGACATATCGGTTGAAGTTTGCAGTCTCATATCCCTCCGGCCCGCCATCAAATTGAGCGTTTCGTCTGAGAGCTTTTGAGATTTAATACGGCGCAGGGCCTTATAGAGCTTAGACCCCACAGCTTGGACAGTTTCTACAAACCCGTTGTTTATTTCGTCCACAGACTCGCATTCAGCTAGACACTGAAAGCGATTGTGTAGTTGGAGTTGGAAGGCTTCGGGGTCCACGACCAATAGAATAAATTTTTCACAACTACCAGCAATTACATTTGATGGTGTACAACTAATCCCGTGCGACAGTGTAAAAAATTTGGGTGTCTTGATTAATAAAAATTTGAATTGGGCACTCCAAGTTGAAGAAGTGAGCCGAAAGGTGTTTGCTGCGGCAGGTTCTTTAAGAAGGCTTCCTAATTTTCTTCCAATGACCACTAAAACTGCGCTGTCACAATCTTTATTACTTCCCATTTTAGTTTATGCTGATGTCAGCTATCTAGATCTCACTGAGGAGCAATTAAATAAACTTGAGCGGCTTCAGAATTTTTGTATTAGATTTATATTTGGTTTACGCAAATATGATCACGTATCCGCTTTCCTGTGGTGCCAATTCGTCTTCGCCGGAATGTACATATTGTTTCTCTTCTTTACAGTATTCTGTTTAATCCTTATTCACCAGCTTATCTTAAGGAACTTTTAATTTCCTTCATAATACACACACTAGAATTTTGAGATCATCAGAGAACTTGAAATTGTCAATACCGATGCATGACAGCAAATTTATTCATAAATCATTTACAGTCCAAGCTGCACGTCTTTGGAATGCATTGCCAGAAAACATCATACACATTTTTAAGGAACTAGTCAAAGAGCATTATCTGTCACTCACTCTGAATCCCGTTTGATTCTTATCTGTCATCTAACTAAGGGCTTATATGTATGTTATATATAAATATATATGTATTATAGAATTTAAAGTATTTATGTATTTCATTTATTCATTAAATATAGGTAGAGATATGATATCATGATAAAGTTTGAGACACCATAAGCTATCCTAAATCTAATCTAAAGTAGATATAATTTTCGTTCAGTTCACAAGGTTGCCTGGAAGAAATTACTTTTTAGTAATAAGGCCGCCAATTGTGCATTCACATTTATTGTATCCTTATATTTGTTTCTGTCCATTGGTGTATAATAAAGAATTTTTCATTCATTTTCATTCATTCATTCATTCACGATATGAGCAGCACTAGGACGGGGCGTAAACTTCATCAGACGTGACCTTTCGAGCTTAACATTGATATTCAATGTGCCTCTAACGATTCGGTGATCGCTACCGGTTTTCACCCTGCTGATCACGGAGACATCATTGAATATGTACTTTCTGGTTGTCATGATGAAGTTGATCTCATTTTTTGTCGAACCATCAGGGCTCATCCAGGTCCACTTCCTGGAGGGTCTCTTCTGGAAGAAGGAGTTCATCGCAAAGAGTCTCTCCTTCTCCATGAAATCGACCAGCTTCTGGCCCCGGTGGTTGCGCCGCCCATACCCAAATCGACCCACCCTCAACTCATCGCCGTTCGAAGCGCCCAGCTTCGCGCTAAAGTCCCCCATTGCAACGGTGAAGTAGGTATTAGTCGTATGTATGGCTTCAGAAATCTCTTCATACATAACCTCTACCTCATCGTCGGAGTGTGAAGAGGTCGGGGCGTAAACCTGTATGACCTTCAGCGAATACCTTTCGGTGATTCTGAGTATAAGATACGCCACTCTGCTCGACACACTATCGATTTTCACCACGTTGTTCACGAGGGACTTGTGGACGAGAAACCGAACACCACCTTGAGATTTTTGATCTCCTTCCCGGAAGAAGAGCATGTTACCGGACTCAAGGATTACCGCATCCTGGCCCTCTCTTCGGATTTCGGATAATCCCACTATGTCCCATCGCAACTTGCTCAATTCTTCCTACAGCTCTAATAACTTCACGTCAGTCCTCAGTGTGCGGACATTGTATGTTGCCAGGGCCAGAGTCCGTTTGTGTTGGTAGCGCCGAATCTGCCGGGGATTCTTAGCACCCCCTGCCCCTCCATTACCTGTCCCGCTACCAGAGACAGGAATAGAAGGGCTGCCGGGGACTGGGGGCCGTGCATCATTGTCGTCCATCATGAGGTGGGGGTTGCCATAATCTTCACGCTTGGCAGGCGACTTGGGGACCGCAGTAGGTGGTGGTAGGTGATACCGGGAGGCGCTGCTGCCCGCCTTCCGTATTACCCCTCTGTCGGTACCTACGACACCCACGGGAGGATATGGGGGGATGCTACTCTTAGGCCGGCACCCCACGGCACTTCATACTGCATATATTGCAAAATGAATAAAGACATATAAAAATAAGTTTATTTTCTCCAGTGCGACAATACTGCCGGTTTGAAAAGGAGTTGTATTGAAAAAGGGGAAATGGTACCACGACACACAGAAGACATTGCCCGCTCGTCCATGATACCATCCATCAAAACTTAAAGGATCTATAAACCTTAACCTATTTACCACCATAGGCCGTAATGATATTTGGCCACTGCAAAACTCCTGCCCATCTGCACAATCATTAACTCTACAACGAATCAACTATTTATTACAACGAAGAAGGTGCCGGTTCAAATTATTTCTTATTCAAATGTTACAATTTACTTGAACGCTGGTGCCTCTTTGTTTTCAACATGTTGTGTAGAGCTTGTGACAAAATGCTTTCGAGCTCTCTGAAGGTTGATATTTCAGTTTATTGAAATACTAAGGTAGGTCAAGCAACTGGTGGCGGCGGCGCAAAACTATATGTTTGTTCCATTAAATTAAAATGAGTATTTTTTATAATTTAACTATTGATAATTAAATAATGATTTAACTACTAATAATTAAATAAGTAATTAATTGTCAACCATTACGAAACTCTTTATAGTGGCTCACTTTCACCTCAACTTCTGAGATTTGCCAAGTGGCAGATTTTTTTTGTTTCACAATTGTGCAATCCCTTTAGTCTACTTTTTATATTGAAAATAAGTTTTTTGTTAATTTCAAACTAATAAATGGCACGTTTATATATATTTCTCGTACTTATACTTCCTATTCATTCGATATTAGGTTTCGATGTGAGTTACGATATGTTGGTTATTGCGTTTGGGTGCTAAATAAATTGTACGACAGACTTGATGTCGATATCGCCGTTTCTTCGATATATAGCGCGAGTCTGATAATGGCCCTAGGCATAGAATACACGCTATTATAAATTACAAATTGTTTAATAAAACTGAAATACAATTAAAATAACTAAATTGTAATCTTCACACAAGCTTGTAAAATATACTTTTAAATTCTTTTCATGACGGCTCAAAGACCGAACCATAAACAATAGACTTCACAATAAAAGATTAGAAAAAAAGATCAAGAGTGAGTTCTGGACTTTTAAACAGATAATATATTAAACATAACGAGACGGTACACGGACAAAACACGGACGTAGTGCTTCAGATATCGATATTTTAGGGCATCTATGTATCAACGCATCCCTAGACAGGCCAAGGCAAGATATAAGTAGTCCCAAAGAAAACAAGAAATTTCCCCCCTGATGATGAAAACTTATGAATCATTGTTGATTAATTAGGAAGTTAATGCAAATAACTATTTCAGTGCGATTTGACTTTTGGCCTTATTTACTCTTTGCATCACGTACATGCATAGTGCGTATCATGTATGGTTAACCATAAAGGATCGAATAAAAAAATTGGTTGGTTACTGTCAAATGCATGTGTCAAGTACTTTAGGTTATGTGGGTTAGTGGCAGGTTATGTATTGTACATAAAAGTTGAGAGCTTTTGCATAACTAATTAAATATGAAAGAAAGAAATGATAAACGTTACAAGAAAGGAAGCAAAAATAAGAAATTTCAAGTATACAAACCTCGTAAAAAGAAAAGTGCAGAAGAAGACGCTGCCATACAATATTTACAAGCTCAGTACGTAAAGGTAATTTATACAAACGTTATATATTTTAAATTCAATTACCAAACATAGACAGATACTCAGTGAATAGGTGATGTAATTTATATATAATTAGGTAATCTAATATATCTACCCATTGGCGTGTATCCGTAGTCGTGTTTTGATGTAGTTGATGAAATCCCTGTGATCGAAACGCATAGATTCTGAAGCAATCACTGATAGAGCATTAAGAATCTAGAATGTTATATTAGCATACTAGATTCGTACCCAGCTAATTGTGAATTTTATACTTTTTATAAAATCAGTTAAAAAATACTTTGAAGCTAACTTATTTCTGTAAACATTTCAGATTGTTTCAGATGATGTAAAAACATTTAAAGATTTTCCTTTATCTCAAAAAACTTTAAAAGGATTAAAAGAAAACAATTATATAGTACCTACTGAAATTCAAAAGCAAGCCATTGGATATGCTTTACAAGGAAAAGATATACTTGGTGCAGCTAAGACTGGTTCTGGGAAAACATTAGCCTTCTTAATACCAATTCTTGAAAATTTGTTTTGCAAGAAATGGACTCGACTTGATGGTGTTGGGGCATTAGTTATTTCACCAACAAGAGAATTAGCATATCAAATCTATGAAACATTACGCAAGGTTGGCTTTCTCCATGACTTTTCAGTTGGTTTGATAATTGGAGGGCAAAATCTTAAATTTGAAAGAAAACGAATGGACCAAATCAATATTCTGATTAGTACACCTGGTCGTCTATTACAACACATGGATGAGAACCCACTCTTCAGTTGTCACAATCTTCAAATCCTAGTTTTGGATGAGGCTGATAGATGTTTGGACATGGGTTTTGAAGCCACAATGAATGCAATTATTGAAAATTTACCACCAGAGAGACAGACACTTCTTTTTTCAGCTACTCAAACAAAATCAGTAAAAGATCTTGCACGCTTGAGTCTGTCTTTTCCAACATATGTTGCTCCGCATGAACAAGCTGAAACAGTAACTCCAGAATTCCTTCAACAGAGTTACATTATCTGTGAGATTCATGAGAAAATTGGAATTTTATGGTCTTTTATTAAGAATCACTTAAAACAAAAAGTTTTAGTTTTTATGGCAACTTGTAAGCAAGTAAAGTATACATATGATTTATTTTGTAAATTAAGACCGGGAGTGAGCTTGTTAGCTTTATATGGTACATTACACCAAGAAAAGAGAGAAAAAATATATAATGAGTTTTGTAGAAAATCAAATGTGGTTCTGTTTGCCACTGATTTGGCATCCAGAGGGTTAGATTTTCCTAGAGTTAATTGGGTAATACAAATGGACTGTCCAGAAGATGTTGACACATATATCCATCGTGCTGGTAGAACAGCTAGGGGCGTTTTTGGGAAAGGAGAGGGTCTCTTAATGTTGTTACCAAATGAAGAAAAGATTATAGAGAAATTAAGAAACAAAAAAATACCTATTAACAAAATTGCAGTAGACCCCTCAAAAGTGATTGCTCCACAAAAAAAAATTGAGGTATTATTATCTGATCACATGGATTTAAAACAGACTGCACAAAGGGCGTTTGTAAATTATTTGAAGTCAGTGTTTTTGATGAAAGATAAGGAAATATTTGATGTTAAACTTATAGATACAGATGCATATGCTAGGTCACTTGGGTTGCTTGTCCCACCCACTGTAAAATTTTTACAAAAATATCAGAAAAAAGATACCAATGTAAAAAAAGAATCTGCAGAGATAGATGGTCACAATGTGATAGAGAAATTGATAGAAAAATCTGAAACTGAAGAATCTGACCAAAGCGCTTCAAAAGAAGAAGATTATGAGAAGCTATTGCCTGAACCTATAAAAACAGAACCACAAAATAATATAGAAATACCTAAATTAGATTACCAGAATTTTGAAGTTAGTGACAATGATGAATTATTACATACCAAGGAAGCTAATGTAGATGCACCACTCAAAGATGAGCCACAAACAAAAAAGAAAATATCTAAATCATTAACCAAAGCAGCAGCAGTAAAAATGATCTTGAAGAAGAAAATTAAAGTTAATAGCACAGTGAAGTTTACTGAACTTGATGAAGTAATGGAGGATGAACAAAAAGATTTCAAATCTGATTTTGGCTTACACATAGCAAAAACAAAAGATATTTTACAGAAAGAAGATAAACGTGACAAACCATGTTTCAAAGAGAAAGCCAAAGCTATGCAAAAAGAAAAAAAACGAAAATTGAAAACTAAAAAGAAAAGGGATGTGGGTGATAAGGATGACTTTGGTTCACTATCAGAATCAGATGGCCCTGATCTGTCATGGTTGCCAGACCCAGACAAAGTGTATGGATCTAAAGGAAGTGACAATGAATCATTATCAGGAGACAACAATAGAGACTCCATGCAGTCAGATGATCAGCAATGTGAAGAATCTGAAGATGAGCAAGTTTATCACAGGTAACATGGAAGGGAATTGTTTAAATTTAATTATTCTATGTCTTGAAAGTCAAAGCACACTATTTCATGTCACACTGACCTGTGTTGGTATAAATACAGCTCCAGGTGTTACTTTTTTGCCTTGTACTTAACATTTGTCTTCTGGAAATAAAAATGTTTTATAGGTATAGGATATAATGCATTTTTTTTTCAGACCATCCAAAAGAAAACTAATTGAAAGTAGAGGTATTCCACAAGAGGGTTTGGTGCCTTGCAAAGTAAAGAAGATAGAAGATTTATCATCAAAACTGTCTGTCCATGAAGCTGAAATGATTGCAATAAGTCTATTGAAAAAAAAACCATAAATGTTATTAATATAATGTTATGCCTGATTAATAAGTTTCGTATTATTTATTTAATTTCGTATTTTCATGATTTTTTGTGTTGGTACTATAAAAAGTTATGAGCCATATTACATCTCAACTGTGACTTTTACTTGTGTACTGATATCTATATCAAGCCCAATGTATTTCAAAATTTCATCCAAACCCAAAATATGTAAGTAGTAAAGAAAAACACATTTTGTTTATTGGCCAACTAGACCGGTCTTACAAAACCGGGTCCGGGTCTTGAAAAACAAAAGTATTTCAAACGAATATTTCATTGCATTTTTGTGTTTAAAGGCAGATTTACGCAGGGTCAGTAGCTATCGTGAGTGCTGGCGCCGTAAACTGACTCATACTATTTACACGCAGTCAGTAGTTCGTCTGTAGTCGAAGATATTTCTTTTGATGTACACACGTTCGTTAACACTGACTTAAAGCGGAAATTCTCGAAAATCTCGAAAACAGCATAAAAAAAATACACTTTTGAACTCGGTAGGGCTAAACCCTTCTATTGGGTTGGCACAAAAGTAATGAGACACACTAGAAAAATCTATAACATTTCCTTTTTAAAATCAATTTTTTCGATAATATTCTAGAATGTTGTAGAACATTCTAGGTACTTCCACTAAACAAATCGCGAGCGCGGCTTTATATACGTGTAGGGTATATAAAGCCGCGCTCGCGATTTGTTTAGTCAGTTTGAAGAAAAATGGACGAGCGACAAGTTCGAACACTATACTTATACGAGTACTTGTTAGGCCACAGTGCGCGGGCTGCGGCTGACAATATCAACAATGCATTAGGCGCTGGAAGTACAAGCCATGCGACGGTGTCCCGATGGTTTGACCGTTTTAAATCAGGAGACAGGAGCCTTGAAAGTCAGCCACGCTCAGGGCGACCACCCGCAGTGAATGATGACGATTTGCGCCGCGAACTGCAGTTGAATCCGGATGCTACCACTCGTGAATTAGCGGAAGCACTTAAATGCAGTCACCACGCCGTGGAACACCATCTGCATGAGCTTGGTTATCGAAAAGTTTTGGAGATGAATCATGGATTTATTACGAGAACGATACACGTCGTGCTTTTTGGCTGCCTTGAGAAGAAACGCCACCAACTCAACCGAAGCCGAGTCAAAAGAACCGCCGAAAAATTCTGCTTTGCTGTTTCTGGGATGCGCAAGGCATACCTACTGTTTTATGAGTTATTACACAATGAAACTATAAACGCTGACAAATATTCAACCCAGATTACCAAATTATCTGCCGCTATCAAGAAAAAACGACGAAGACGAGTCAATGTAGTTTTACTGCACGATAACGCTCGACCTCACGTCGCATCTGTGGTTCGCCGGCAGTTGGAGAACTTGGGCTGGGAGACTAGAGTCTGGCAAGCGAAACGTGTCACAAGAAAAGGGCGGCAATTTCAAAAATTCTTAAGCAGTAAACACTGAATGTAGTACTGCAAAATAATTTTGATACTTTTATTAATTATATTTAATCTTAACATTTAGATATCAATTAAAATTATTTGTTTTGGAACATTTGACTAAAGCGTGACTGTTCTTAATTGTACAGTTAACAGCATATCAGTAGGCCTATTCACTAACTCAACTGACAACCAAGAATCGTCATCACCGTAAAAAATAGACACTTTGATTGTGTCAAAATCACTATTTCGTATTCTCTATCAATGATGAGCAATTTCGAAATGTCAATATCGGCATTCTCCACTGGACTCCATTTTGACACTTGATTTCGTATCGATAAACTGTATTAAAGTAACATTGTTGCAAAGCATATTTGAAGTCGTCGCATAGTACCTCTTAAGCCATTTGTTGTTAAATTAAAGCGAAAAAAAATACGTATCCAATATTTTTCTATTATCTGACTGACGGACTAAATCGAATCTTTTTTTTAACCCATTCGTTATACCTATTGGCTAACAGCACTTATAATATTAAAAATTCATATTTGTCATTAATTAAAAGGGTGTTTTTTGCAACGACTTCTTTGTTTTTTTGTAATGAATATGGGCGACTCTGGCCACATTTTTTTAATAAATGTGATGTTAGCCAATTTTGATTTCTGGCCCTTATATTTATAATGTGTTCATAACACATACATGTCTCCTAAGGGATTTTCATCACAACCTTTTGCTCTGATCCAGAACCACTATCTATCAAATTAAATTAGTCAATATAAACACCAGATTACAATAAAAAAAACATTTATTTTTGTTACAATTAAGTGCCATGGATAAATTACATAATACAGGTGTCACAAAATCATCATGTTAATCACAATAGAAAATTTAAGATAAGATTTTGACTATGAATCAGACTAAAAATACTTTAGTCTGATTCATAGTCAAAATCTGTTTCTAAATATTCTACACCTGATAACAATGACAAGGAATCATCAGAGTCACTCTCTTCACTACTGTCTGCACCAACAGATATAATAAATTTTTCAAGTTCGTTTTCAACAATGCCATCTTTTAATTTGTAATCATTTTCGACATTTAAAACATGATCAGTGTATTTCTTCCAGTCACTAGGGGTAATTAAGTTAAAACACTCTATTATTAAGTTTTCCATTTCCTTTCCTGGTATTCCAATGTTTCTGCTTGCAATTTTTCTTTTTGCTTGACTCCAAACCATCTCTATTGGGTTTAAGTCACAATGATACGGTGGCAGCAATAAAAGTTCATGATTATGTTCTTTTAAAATCTCTTCAGCTTCATATACAGGCAATGTTTTCTTATCATTAACCAAACACATTAACTCTGCCTTTGTCTGATATTCCTCAAAATGTATTCCATTATTTACAAGCCATTTACGGATATCTGCTTTGGTATTAGACATTATAGGCGGTTTATTGATTTGTTTTATATGGTAGCTGGCATTATCCATAACAATTACACTGGGCTTACTTAAATTTGGTATTAATTTTTCTCTGACCCATTTCATAAAGTTCGATGAGTTCATATCATCATGATAATCAGCAGATTTGGATTTACTACTGAACACTAATAATGCACCAGGCACAAAACCTTCCTCAGATCCAGCATGCACAACAATATGCCGTTTTCCAGAGGATATCTTTGTAGTGACACCAGTTGTTGAAGGTCCTTGCCAAGACTTTTTAACTTTATAATTCTGATGTACATAAGTTTCATCAAGGTACACAATTTGCTTTCCTTCGTTTCGTTTTATATTTATTTCTCTCAAATACTTGTGCCTCCATGCAGAAATCTGGTATTTTTCTATAAGCATAGAACGTTCATTTTCATTGCTTTTAAAAGAAAATCCATTCTTAAGCATAATTTTTCGTAAAGTCTCACGGCTACCACTGAATCCTATTGCATCTTTTAATTCATTGTGAAGGCTTCTTAATGTTGGAACAATTTTTTTCACACAGTAAAATTCATTTACTTTATTCCGAATTGCACTTAAATCAAAATTATCTAAAGCAGACACTGTTGGTTGATGAGGTCGTTTTTTCCCAGGAGTGTCCCATTTTCCTTTATTAATTAATGCTTCATTTTTTATCCTTCTTAGTGTCCTTATACTTACATCTATAAAAGATTAAACACTTTGAAACAAAGATATGTTAAATGTATTTAAAAGCAAATAATGATAGACACATACATCAAAATAATTTAAATACCTATTCAACTATGAATGCAATTTATGTTTAATTTAGTTAAGTTTATGTGCATATTTAGCATGTATAACAATTACATGGTTTGATTAGTTTCATGAATTCTGTGAATTTCCTTGTTAAACAAAACATTCTTATGACATCATTGGATGTCAACAATAAAAACCAATACATCATAAAAAACCTAAAATAAGTTATCTGCAGCCGAAGGTCTTAAAAAAAAGCAAATTTTAATAGACTAAATTTAATTATAAAAGAATTACAAGTAAAGTATGATAATGCTTCGAAGTGTGAAACAAATATGAATTATAATATTTAATTTTGACGGAAACGCTGGTGGTGTTGCAATGCCTGTCACGTTCCGCTGACGCTGCGCCTCGTGCCGCCTGGTGCCGTGTGCATTGTTGATCGGTGTCGATGCTGACTTGGCGATTGTCATATATTAGGCGTCCGTAACACCTCCCCTCGTAGAACAGCCTCCACCGAAGATTTTAGTTGTAAATTGAGGTGGTGGTTGGTTTCTTCTTAATTTCGGTACTGGATCTGCGTAAATCTGTTTCGTGTTAATTTCATCTTCGGGAATTTTTACAGCGGTAATTCTTCTGAAGTATTTGCGATATAGCACTGTAATAGCGAGTGCACATGTAATGATCACTACTATGTATAATGGTATTGTAGTATGATACAAAGTGTAATCTCGAGTCTGGAAGTGAACAGCTCGCTGTTGAGAGATTTTCATATCGGTTGCATGAAGATGCTGTAGGTTCATTGAGTTAAGTTTCAGTGCGGCGGTTGGTGGTGGGATGACATCTGCTTCTTGGGGTAGATCCATTATCTTAAGCACGTGACCCTTTAATCGATCTTTAGTGTTGGAGATGGTTAGCTGCGGTGTCTTCATGTAACAGTTCTGTGGTATGACGGCGAGATAACTGCCTTGGTATTCTTTATATAGATCTTGTCCGCATGAGAGATGAACTTTTGTTGGTACAGGGAAGCTGACGGTGTAATGTCTGTCGTCCAATTCTTCATATGCGGGCTGTTCGAGTTCGACGTTAACGGGATTGCATATTGTACTACGTTGTTGAGTAGTAATAAGTTGATGAATGCAATCTTGAGCTGGAAGAATCTGCAGGCTCCTTTCTTCTTCGCATAAGAACCATTTACTGGTCTTCGGACATTCTGTCTCTATGTGCTTAAAATCTTTCTCGTGGACAGCTAGGAATGGGGAAGGAGGAATAAGGATTTGGTGGAGTTTATTGGGAATAACTGATAGTTTATATAAATCATATATATGTAATTTATAAATGGGAAATTTATA